ATATAGAAAAGTATATCACTTATCAATTTTCATTTTATAGGATAAGAAAATCTCTGTATTATTTATCAAGTAAATGCTGAACTCCTACAAATATGAGAATTGAATTAAATTGTAAAGAAATCCAACCTGTTTAAGGAACTGGCTCTTGGCTGTGCTGGGATCACCCACAATGCAAATGTTGATGTCACCACGGAGATTGGTTCTCTCTAGGGTAACCTTGGGAACACCCCCAAACAGCATAAGCAGAATTCCCCTTTTAACCTCTTCATTGCCTGAAAAACAAAAATTGATCACCACATTAATCACTTATGAAAACATGTTTTATAAGCTAATTCATGATCAGATGCAGGTGTTTTGTGAATGATAATTAAATAAAAATTTTAGCAATACCATGAATAGTAGGGAAGAGACTGGTACAGAGGTTGTGGTACAGATTCTTATCCTGTGACATGTCGTACACCTTCTGCCACTCGTCAGCTGTCATCTGTTTCTTTAATGTCTCGGCAGTCATCTCATCATCTCTCAAATCTCGGCCTCCAAACTATAGCAAAATACATTCCATTCATAATAGACTCACCTATTGCAGCTTCAGGATTTGCATACAGACAATTTATATGCAAAATGTACAAATCACTGATTGAATACCTACCCTTGGGTTACTTGAAGTCACAGAGCAAGCCAGGAAGGCCAGCCTGTAGGTCAGATCTCGGACTCCCAGGGCTTTCAGTCCACGGACCCCTTCTGTTTCATACCCCTCAGCTCCCTTCACTCTCGCACCTGTTTCAGCTCTAGCACCTGATACAGAAAGTATTCATATAGAACTCCATATGTTTGATATTCAAACAGAAAATACCCTGTCCTGCTCATAACCAGGTTTTCTCAAATAACTTTCTTTCACATAAAAGCCTGTGAAAAATTCAATATGTAGTCGTGGGCTGACCATTTTTTTTTTTGTTTTTTCTAATTCTAACAATCTTTGCCTTTACCTTTTCATTAACCTTGTGCATATTTGAACAAAACACAAGAGATTAACAAAAGTCAAAGATTACCTGGTAATGACATTGTAGCAACGTCAGGGACAACAATGAGAGTTCCTGTGAAGTCACACTTGTCTCCAGCCTGAGCGGTCTCCACTGCCTCTGCTCTCAAGATCACCTCCACACTGTATAACGAGAAAAAAGTCAACAAATTGTTTTGAAAAGAATTATTTCGACAAAATTAATTTAATTTTTTTTTCAAAATGACACATTCGTTGAAGATTGTAATGCTTATTGCAGGCTTTACATTGGATAGTGTTAGAAGTACCTTCTGGGAATGCTTCCTCTGGGAAGTTCAGCTTGTGTTTCCTGTATACGAACTTTCTGGAAGTCCACAAATCTGGACTTGTTGACATCTAACATGAAACGGGATCTATTGTTACATACAGGATTTCTGCAAATGCTGGGCTAATAAAAAAGAAGTTTGACAAATACATATATAATGAATTAAGATCTGGCATAACTTATGATCTTATAGTATTGTATTCATAGTACACATTTATTAATTCCTATTCTATATTTGAGACAATTTCTAGAACATGCATGTTTACCTGTGTGAATTTGAACTGCTGTTCTACATCTGGAATAACTGTTCTGCAGTCAAGACACATGAACGTTCCTAGCACTAGCTCTGGATGAACAGGGTGGGTCCTCACCACTTGGCCTGAGATTCGTAGGAGAGTTCCAATTTTGGCTGTTGTCATCTCTCTAACCCTGAAAACAAAATTAGATACAATCATGATGAAATCGAAAATAAAGTCGATCCTCAAATCATCTCTGACTTCCGATTGTCAAAGTATAGTTTGGATAATAATTTATGGATACACTGTATTATGATCTTACTTCAATCTGGTTGGCACATCTGTGAAACTGACATAATATTCTTTTCCTTGAGGTGTCTGAGCATAGTCCTTTACAAAATTTTTGACTGCTCTACATAAATATGGGTAAACTCTGAAATTTAAGAAAACAATTAGTACATTCTATGAGATCATGCCACATTTTCCAGACTTCAATATCAAATATCACTCATTAATTTTTAATTAAAATTTACCCTTTACAGAAATACACAGATTTTAAACAAACATGTTTTCAACATCGATATAAAATGTAACTTAAAAGTTGTCAAAACCACTGGTCCTGTCTGCAAGACTGGTAAAATATATCAGTCTAGACCAGTAACTTACTGGAAAGCATTGGTCTACAAAATGATTTCTAAAAATCAGACTTGATGCAAATTATATAAAAGACTGGGATTATCATTGCATAGGTGAAGGTCAAATACACAATAGAAATGGCTGCATGATATCAGGGTGGTGTTAAACATAATTGTTAAATGTGGGGACATATTATTGTTTGCAGCTGAGTGTGAAGTTTCACGTTATGTCACAATCTTTTTCGTCTGATGCATTCAGCGTAAACAATTAACGTGATTGGTCAACTCAAATTATCAACATTGACACGGAAATACTCTGCTGCACGAGCAACCAATCAGGGGTAAGAAGAAAGTTCCAGTCGTAAAGCTTGCGGTTAGAAGGCGTGTACAATTTACCTTGAGCGCAGCTGTCAACTAGATTGTGACGTAACGTGAAACTTTACACTCAGCTGCAAACAATAATAAATCCTGTAAAGTGATAATTCCAACATTTCAACATCTTCCTTTCATATACTTTGTACATGCAGTGTTTAAAATCTCGTTAAAAAATATTTAAGAAATTCTCCTTGCTGTTACATTGAACGGATTGCTATTTTTGTTGTATTATTTAGGTGAGAATTTCTGACAACCTGTTTCAGTACATGTACATACAGTAGAAAGAGACCAATCTGATAAATGAGATTGAACCTGCAAGAAGAGAGCTCATGAGAGAATTGGTTACCTGTAATATTCCTCAAGGATTGTGGTGGCAAGGTTCTGATTAAACTTGTCAACATCCTCCAAACTAACGGTCAATGTGTTTCTCTCGGGGCGTCCCAGGTCATTGATTCCAACAGTATACTTTTGCTCCCCATCTACTCTAAACCTGAATAATATTGATTTCCACTTTATTTCCAAATCTAATAAGAAAGTAGTTTCCCTTACTCATTTGTGCTTACAATCTTTCTTTAAAAATAAAAAAAAGGGCTTTAGTTTCTTTCTTTACCTCCACCCCCCCTTTTTTTTCTTTACAACACACTACATGCTCAAAGAAGAAAAAAATTTAGTAGAACATGCCTGAAATCCAGTTCTTACAAACAGGCATTTCATTAAATTTGCCGGGGTGTTTTCTCTAATTCACGGCTGATTAAATAATAACAATAAGGATGAAAGGCACACATCACCCGGCCAGTCCACGACCATAATTTACTTACTCTTCTAAGAAATCCTGAAATAGCTTCTGACATCTTTCACCAACTTGATCTTTCACTTGCTTTGTAACAATGGTCTGTACAGCAACATCCATTTCCTAGCCCTGATGGAAGAAAACCCAAAATACTGTAACGTGTTTACAACCCTGACTGACAAAGCCTTTCCCGCGAAATTGGTCACGTGACTACCTTGGCTAGCCATCCGATCCCGACCTCAAACCCAAGTAAATTTTTTCATACATGTGTGAAAGTCAAACGGATCTATTTTTTATGTCTCTGGTTATACCAGTGGGGAAACAGAGGATAGAATTTTTATGAGAATCATTAATTCGAAGCAGCTTGCCTTTGAAAGGCCTTGTTGAAAGTTTGCAGAAAATATCTCCAGCAAACATGGCAAAGTACATGTACACGCGCAAAATTATATCAAAAAATAAAATTTGTTTTCTAATCTTCAGAATTAGTTTTATCATTATAAGATTAAATACTATGAATCAGAGGTTGTGTTATGGAAGAAACATTTAACAGTTGAAATAAGATTCAAATTTTGATCATTTGTTGATTTTTTTTTAAATTTTAAAAAAGGATATTGGAATAACAACGCAATTTAAGACATGGAAATGCATTGAATGATGAGAAAATGAGTAAAGTCAAAAATGGTAAAGTAATTTTTAATTATTCTTCAGAAAATCATAAAGCCTGAAAAAGGAAACCTTGATCATAATTTGAAATATATTAAAATAATTCCAGTTAATGTGTTACTGTCAACATTTTAATTTTATTATCATTAATATGAAACACTACGAAGACAATAACAAAACTTATATGCCTATTTTATTTCAAAATTAAATAAAGGATCTACGAATAAGACAATGTACAAGTTGTTTATCGATTAACTGGTTCTCTTCAGCTTTCGGACTAGTTTAGTCTTCAAGAGAAGAGGCAGAACTGGAAGAAGAGGTGTGATCGTTTGATCGATTATTTAGAGCTTAATAAAAAATATTCTTAAGTTACAGGGATATCAAGGTAAATAAAGCGAATGAAATTGTATGTTAAGAATATGTTTTGTGTCTGACAATATGACAAATTTTGGGGAAAAAGTTTTGAAATTTGTACAGGATGTAAACAGGTTAACGTGACCATGACTAAGTGATGGAGTTCTTACGAAAGCTCAGCATTTAATATTGTAGGCCTTTTTCAGTGTTTATCAAGATATTTGTACTTTATATTTTTTCTCTCTGTTGCCTTTATGTATGATGCAGACATCAGGGACCTATATACTATGGTGTCCTCCCTTGTGTAGTTTTATTATTACGGCATATGATTTTTTTATCAGGTTGGGCACAGCCTACCAAATGGTACTTTATCCCCCGTTTGGTAGATAATCTACCATATCGGTAACGAATTTTACTAACCAAATGGGGGACTTTTTTATTCTATTGCAATTTTTATTAAAATAAAACAAAAGCGCATTTATTCAGGCAATGGGGGATTTTAGTGAACATATTCCTCGTACAATTAACATAAATCGGTCGAATTTCTATGTGTTATTTCTCCGTAACTTCGTAAAAACAATACCCGTAGTTGTCTGTAACAGCCGAACTTCTTGATCAAACGATCGAAAAAAATCTTTATTGTGTCTTGTTGGATAAAAGTCCAATTTTATACAGTGATTTAACTCTTGATGAGATAACTTTCAATCTCTTTTTGGATCTTCGTCAATGTTTATCTACATAAAATCCTGTTAAACACGAGCTCCTCATGCCCTACCGGTATGGTGGGCACTTCCTGCTATAAAGTTAATTTTTTCCAGAGTTGTACGTAATATTTGTTGTTATTTTTCTTTTAGGTTGAAGTTGCAGATTCCATGCGATCTTTTAGAGTTTAATATGCATATTACTGGTGAATTTAATAAATTCGAAAAATAATATTCAATAAAAAATGTACAAAAATGACTTTTGCCATTATTCTTGTTTTTGTTCCAAGTACATCGTTTTAAAACAATAATTATGTCACACTCCAACTGCATTTACTATTTCTATGAAGAACAAAGCCATTGTGTTCAAAATAAAAAGAAATAAAGGCAAGACTTATTTTTCTTCTGATTTCCTAGTTGAAAATTAACACAAATGTGCCTCCGTAGTTAAATCCGACTTTTCATCAGGTTTAAAAAAGATCAACGTTTTGATTGGTTTGCACTAATTGACTGGTTGCCCGGATAATCGAAATAGAAAGTAAAGGACATGATTGACAGGTGCAGCATCGTTGGAGAAGGAGAGAATTTTCTTTTAAAGTAAAAAACGGAGAAACATTGCACTTGTTTACATAAGCTACGTTATTTGTCAAATTTTTGAACGACTCTGCGCAAAAAAATGCACATAGGATTTTTGATTTTTTTCACCCAGAACACTGATAAATATCTATATTTTATTCCACATGGTTTAAAATTATGCGAAATTCCACTCCACTCTATGGAATTAAACACAACCAATTTTGTCCCCCATTTGGTTAGTAAAATTCGTTACCGATATGGTAGATTATCTACCAAACGGGAGATAAAGTACTATTTGGTAGGCTGTGCCCAACCTGTTTATAAAAATAAATAATTTTTACACGCCGAGAGCAAGTCCCTGTGATTGAACTGCAGATCTTACCAGTTGTGGTACTTATGTACCATCCAGACCTAAGGATATGGCCTAGTTAATCATGTATTTAAAAGCATTTTAAATTCATTGGATTAAACAAATTATATATATATATATAGGTTTCTCTTGCTTCTATTAAAGAACTGATAAAGAATGTACTGGAAAAAAAAACAGAGCTTCAGGGAATGGATAATATTGTTGTTAGCTCTACTGGTCAGAGACCAGAAGAGCTTATGCGGTAGTAAGGTGTCTGTCGTCCGTCCTGTCTGTCTGTCTGTCCGTCTGTCTGTAAACAATTTTTCAAAACGCTACTCCTCCTACAGTTTTGGTCTGATTTCAATATAACTTGGCACACAAGTAGACTACACTAAGATACATAGAATAGTGCATCGGTTTTTCATTTCGATGAACGGTGTTGCCATGGTTACTAAAAATAGAATTTTCTGTGAAATTCCTTTAAAATGATACTCCTTCTACAGTTTTGGTCTGATTTCAATATAACTTGGCACACAAGAAGACTACACTAAGATACATAGAATAGTGCATCGGTTTTTGATTTCGATTAACGGTGTTGCCATGGTTACTAAAAATAGAATTTTCTGTGAAATTCCTTTAAAATGCTACTCCTTCTACAGTTTTGGTCTGATTTTAATATAACTTGGCACACAAGTAGACTACACTAAGATACAAAGAATAGTGCATCGGTTTTTTTATTTTGATGAAAGATGTTGCCATGGTTACTAAAAATAGAATTTTCTATGAAATTCCTTTAAAATGCTACTCCTTCTACAGTTTTCGTCTGATTTCAATATAACGTGGCACACAAGTAGACTACACTAAGATACATAGAATAGTGCATCGTTTTTTTATTTTGATGAAAGGCGTTGCCATGGTTACTAAAATTAGAATTTTCTATGAAATTCCTTTAAAATGCTACTCCTTCTACAGTTTTCGTCTGATTTCAATATAACTTGACACACAAGTAAACTACACTAAGATACATAGAATAGTGCATCGGTTTTTGATTTCAATGAACGGTGTTGCCATGGTTACTAAAAATAGAATTTTCTGTGAAATTCCTTTAAAATGCTACTCCTTCTACAGTTTTTGTCTGATTTCAATAGAACTTGGCACACAAGTAGACTACACTAAGATACATAAAATAGTGAAATGGTTTTTGATAAGTACAAACCAGTAGAGCTACAGTCTCGACAGAGACTTCTGGTTTTTGATCATTGTTTCTTTTGTAAACATTTGTAAGGTGAACTCTTATGGCTTCTGTGTGAAAGGACAGTTTTGCGATAGATAATTGAAATGCAAATCTGATTCGATGACGCTGATATTTTGCTGATATATTGATATAAACGTTTGTAGTGAGATTTTGGAAAATCATAGCATAATTTTTTCTTGTGTAAATCTTCTTGAAATGTCTAGAAGAAAGTTGGATTTAAGGAGTTTTATTAGTATATATGTTACTTTGTATTTTCAAATATTATTTCTACTAAAGGGTTAGTCATAAAAATTAAATGTTCCTAATTATTGCAGAAAGTAGCTGATCATGTATTCAGAAGATGATGAACTTGTTGGAGATCAGTTCTCTGCATTTTCAGAGAAAAATGTACGATTAGGTAAGCAAATCTCTCTCAGTTATTCATAACTGGAACTACGGGTAAAAAAAAAAATAACAGAAAAAATATGTTAATGCCTAGCAGGCAACAACGTAATATAGCGGGGTTTCTTGGCAGGTGTAAAATTTGGCAAATTGCCTTCTCAAATATATGCCAATAATTTTGGTGCAATTTATTTAAGCGGACATAGGGTTTCAGCTCTTTGCAGATGAACACTAAGAAGAATACTGAATATTTTTGCGATCAAAATTTAAACGGGCTACCATCAAACTGCTAAAATATGCCAAATTTAGCACCCAGCTAAAATAACCCGCTATACGATATTCTAAAAGTATAATTGAAAAGAGTAAAACTTTTTCTTCAGGAGACTTCACAATGAGATGTTTTAATTTCTTTTTTTTTTTTTAAGGATTTATACGAAAGGTGTATGGGATACTGCTGTGTCAATTAGTTGTCACAATGTTGGTGATGGTGATGTTTATGTACATGTAAGTACATTTATATATTTGATTGTTTCACAACTTTGCAAAAGTGTATGACCACTTTGAATTATCGTGATAATTTTATTTGAAATTACCCAAACAAAATTGAAAAAGCACACACATCTCAATTTGCACAATCAATGAAAGACCAAGACAAGACAAGAATACAATTTTTCTTTTTTAGCATAAAATTAAAATATACTTATTGTTATTTTTTTTATTTGGAAACATGGGAATTTAGGTTGTTCATTGTTGATATTGATAATAACAACTATATGTGGAATTGCCAACCATTTATGATACTTGAGATTGTTTTAAACAGCCAAGATATATAAAAGTTTCAAATAAATATTAAGAT